ACCTATAGTTGCCCGACTCCTCTCTACTACCATTCTTGATTCTTTAGAATGTTCTTCCTGCGTTAGAGAGACATGAGCCACCAAGTTTTTACCTTCTAATGCCTTAGCATCAAATGCTGCACACCTGTCACATTAGTGGAAAGTATTTCCTCCTCCAGATCTTTCTCAGGAATACTTCAAAAAATGCAAGAGGTCGCAACATAATGAGCTGATTTTAATTTTTTTCCTGGCTAAAAAGGGCTAAAGAAGTTTACCTTGATTGCCTAGAAGAACACCCCTGGATGATCTAGAGGCAGCCATAAGCACATTTGGAATTTAGAGACCAAAAAAAATTGGAATTCTTCTAAGGACTTCATCAACTAAGAAAGATTCATAAAACTTAGCATAATAAACTAATTCAAACACTCTGTCAAAGAGGTGAGTCAAGAGCCAGTTGCTTTAGATCTCTGCAGTGCAGTAACCGATTCATATTAGAGGTCTGTGTTTCTGAGCCCATTGGAAATCCTCCAATGTGAAAGGTGCTAGTAAACATGTCCAGATGCCTGAAAGAGTGCCATTCGGAGATTGAACCCACACATGCTTCTGATGCAAATAGGAACACTGAATGATACTCACTTGGACCTCCAAACTCACCAGCACCGTGCATAAACAAAGTATGAGATAAGCTAACTAGAATCGTGCATCCATCGAACACCAAGCAGGGATGCCAAACTGGCACCATTCAGAATACCGAATTTGCGCATGCATATAACACAACCGAAGATGCAGAGAAAAGGAAACAGATCATGAAAGAAAGGCTCATAGCAGTGTGAAACTATGCTGGAGGTGTCTGAGGACCCTTATTTAATGTTTAAAAATGGTTTAACACAGTGGCAGTGGGGTGGGTGGTGCCAGAGTGTTCCATTCAACATAACTTCAATTAGATGAAGTAGTTATGGTGCTTAGAGTTTGCTGAAGCACTTTGTGTGAAGATATGCTCAATTTAGTTTACTGTATTCTAAGATATTTTTTTCCTTGCACTATTTGTGTACCAACCGTTTAGATTTTATGTTTAGATTTTATTCATCTTAAATTTTATTCATCTTAAATTATTTATATATGTACATGGCTTTATTTTATCATGTAAAATCTATACATTTTGGTGTGTTTAACCCCTTAAGGACACATGACATGTCTGACATGTCATGATTCCCTTTTATTCCAGAAGTTTGGTCTTTAAGGGGTTAATGAGAAATAGGAAACTAGAAAAAGAAGGGAAGCTCTATTTAACATAACCAGGGTACAAATGACTGGTCTTTTGGACAGAATTCACTGTAAACAAACTGTCCCTTAAAGGGTTAAATAGCTTTTTAATTCCTAGGCTCTGAGGCTTTCTACAGTGAGTCCTGCACACAGCCCAATAGCTGTCACTTCTCAACAAATCTCTGCCATCTCATTATTTTCAAAGGCTGTGCTAAACATGCAGCACAAACCCCTTTCCTAGCAGGAGTTTATAGATATGTAATTCAGCGCTCGGTAAAAATTCTAAATTATTGGAGCTATAGACATGAAGGCACTTGATCGTAGCCAGCAGGGCCGGATTAACATAGGGGCTGATGGAGCTGCAGCTCCAGGCCCAGGCCCATGGAATAGGCCCATTTAAAATAGGGAATAGGCCCATTTTTTTTAACACACTACTCTTAGGTTTGCCACCTGACTGCTATTTTACTGGCACAGCCGGTATGTGAGGCTGCCTGGCCGTGACGGTATTGCAGTAATACCGGCAATACAAATGCAGGTAATTTTCGCAGAATAAATGGAGATTACCCTGCAATACCAGCACCGGCCAGTAGCGGTCACTGTGTGTGGAGAGAGGCAGGGATAGGAAGTTACAGAATATCCCTGCCTCTCTCCACTACTCACTGATCCATGGGGAGCAGCTACACAGCACAGAGTCCAGACAGCAGCTCTACAGCTCAGGTAAGTGAGGGATGGGGGAAAGGCAGCAGATACACATGGGGACACTGAGACAATAGGGGACATATGGGGACACTGGGACACATGGGGACACAGACACTAGGGGACACTAAGACACAGACACTGGGAGACCTGGGAACACTGAGACACTTGGGGACACTGGAAAACATGGGGACACTGGGACACTAGGGGACACTAAGACACTAGGGGACATATGGGGACACTGAGACACTAGGGGACACATGGGGACACAGACACTAGGGGACACTGAGACACTAGGACACATGGGGACACAGACACTGGGAGACCTGGGGACACTGAGACACTATGGGACACTGGGACACATGGGGATGCTGTGAGACATAGGGACATTGGGAGACATTGGGACACGGAGACACTATGTTCCCATGTCCCCCAGCCAGTGTCCCTAGTGTCTCAGTGTCCCTAAGTCTCCCAGTGTCTGTGTCCCATGTCTCTGAGTGTGCCTAGTGTCCCCATGTGTCCCAGTGTCCCTATATGTCCCAGTTTCCCCATGTCTATGTCCACAACTGTCCCCACGTGTCCCCAAATGTCTGTCTCCCAGCCAGTGTCTCCTAGTCTCCCAGTATCTCCTAGTCTCTCAGTGCCTGTGTCCCTAGTGTCTTAGTGTCCCCAAATGTTTCAGTGTCCCCATGTCTCCCAGTGTCTGTGTCCCTAGTGTCTTAGTGTCCCCAAATGTTTCAGTGTCCCCATGTCTCTGTGTCCCCGGGTCTCTCAGTGTCCCCATGTCTCTCAGTGTGCCCAGTATCCTAGTGACATGAGGACACACTGAGACATTGGGACACTGGGAGTAATGGGGACACAGACACTGGAAGACTAGGGGACATGGGGACACTGACACTGTGATACATAGGGACACTGAGACACTGGGTGACTTGCGAGACTGAGACACTGGGAGACAGGGAGACACTGGGAGCAATCCATCTATACATCAGAATCAAACTGTGAGTAGTTTGTTGGTGATTTTACGGAATTTTCTTTGCTGTCACTCCTTGTGATTTACATCATGTGATGTCACGCATAACTAATTAATTATATTAATGATTAAGGCTGGTATTTTTTTCCAAGAAAGGTGGCAACCTTAACTACTCTTCACATATTCTTGCTTAAAGGAGCACTATAGGGTCAGTAACACAATCATGTATTTCTGACCCTATTATGTTAAAACCACCACCCTGGCCCCTTCTTGCCTCCCTATATATATATATATATATAGTAAAATAATACTTGTATTCAAGTCTGCAGCTGCTGGCTCAGAAGTGGTGGTCTGAGCAAATAAATACTTCCCCATAGGATTGGCTGAGACTGTCAACTAGGCCGATCAGGTGCAGAGCCAGCACAAGTCCAACATAGCCCTGGCCAATCAGCATCTCCTCATAAAGATACATTGAATCAATGCATCTCGATGAGGAAAGTTCAGTGTCTGCATGCAGAGGGTGGAGACACTGAATGGCAGTGCTGCAGACTAGGCAGTACTGCCCCATGAAGCACCTCTAGCAGCCATCTAAGGAGCGGCCAGTGGAGTTATTTTCTCTGAAAAGACAGTGTTTACTGCAAAAATCCTGAATGGAATGCTTCTACTTACCAGAACAAATACAATAAGCTGTAGTTGTTCTGGTGACTATAGTGTCCCTTTAAGTTTGGAAGCTTAAGAGGGATGTATGGGAACAAAACTTGTGTGGCTGGCTGACATTAAAATTAGTTTAGGTTATGCAGACGTTGGTCTCTGTGGCATGTCCCCTTTCTTCTACACTCACTACATACACCTTTTCTCTCTCTCAGACTATATACCAGGAACTTCTGCCTGCTAGTCAGAAGGTAAGGAGACAAGTGGACCAGCAAGTGCTAGGGGAAAGTCCTTGGAAAGCATGGAGTGAGCGCTTTATTAGACGCATTTATGTCAAGCTCAATGTGCTGCCTGCATAGTTTGCCCTTAGTTGGACAGCCTGCAGGATTGGCAGGCAGCCTGACATGCATTCATGCCAGGCTGACCTTCCAATTCTTTGGACAAACATGCCCCCTTTTTGGCAGGTCTTGTCAAATGATTCGCACCAGTGGCACACCCTTTTACCCCGCCCATTGACTTCCTGCTTCACTGGACACTGCTGTTAGGGGTTATGGATTTACTTGAAAGATGAAAGCATAAATTAGAGAGAAATTAGCATAGAGTATGTGTTTTCTTATAGCTGCGCTCTATGAGTTTCCCTCCAGCACCATCTCCATCAGATGACGCTTGGGAGGTATGACTGTTTTAGTGTTTTTGGTCAATAAGATTCCGTAATTAGGCCCATCATTATGGTCAGCACCAGGCCCACTGTGCTCTTAATCCGGCCCTGGTAGCCAGGTAGTTTAAATTCAATGTCAAAATGCATCTCAGTGACACTTTGAATCGAACATTATTCAAGGAACAAAAGCAAAAATGTATTGTTTTAATATGCCTTATGATGGTATGATGGGCATATTTTAAAATGTAAGGAGGAATCTATTTTGCATTGGTGTTTTTACACAGTGACAGTCTACTAATTGTGTATTTTGTTGTTGTTGTTGTTGGAACCATTAAGTAAAATGCCAGGAAGGAAATATCTTCAAAGATCAGAACACACAAACAGCAATGTGATGTGAGCCTGCAAAGCCCCTGTGTTTATTGATTTATCGAATGATTTATGTGTGTGAGATACAGCATGTTAATATGGATTTTATTCACTTAACAGGGAATTGAAAACAAATAAAATGTCCCACTATGCTATAGACTCTGATGTGGACTGTTATAGCCTGCATTTTGCAAAATGCTTTTCAATTCATTACAAATCATCACATAACTTACTGTTTAGTGGAAAAAAACAAACACATTTTATTTTTAAGTATGACATTCACATGCAATCAGTGACATTACTAAAAATATAGAGGACTTAGTCAATGGTATGCTAACCCCATAGTAGAATTTTCCAGGTGTACTCAGCAGTTCCTTTTACACTATTAGCTAACCTACCTTATAAGGATTTCTGATTGATTTGTGTGGCATCATCGCAGGGCCTGTCAGGACTTCCTGCACAGCTCTGAGGGAGGAGGATTCTAAGAGTGACCACAAGCTGAGCCAGAGAAAGGACATGTGAGAGACTGTAGCACAGAGATAGGACCTGGCTGAGAGAACTTGTTTCACCCAAGATCACACCAGCTGAGAGAGGGACCTGCAGAAAAAAAAGAAGACAAGCACTGAGTCCAGACGTCTGGCGAATCCAGTGAGAGGAGACTGCTGCTGACTGACCTGGTTAATCGTGTTGTGAGGGTAAGCCAAGCCTCTCCCTGTATCACCACAGGGCACCTGTCTCCTCACTCACAGTAAAGACTCTGAGGTCCCGTGACGGACATTACACATCTGAGGCTGCTTCAGTGACCCTGCTGAGCAGGACTTATAAGGGCCCCAACTCTCCTATGTGCACCAACGGCCGCTAGGGCGAAGATAAGGGGGTGGGGCGCAGATGTGCTGGTGGGTGAGTGAGGAAAATCCACATTTGCATTGTTATCTGTGTTACTCTATTGTATTTTCCTATGTATGTTGGTTCAATTGCTACTTACCATATAAAGTTAGTTCCAGTTAGACTGTGTCAGTCTCATTGCACCAAGTATGTTCCCAGTGGGACCCCACATCCCTACCCAGGATGCTCCACTGGGTGGAGGCACTGCCGCAGACATGTACCCCAGCTCCCAGATAGCGGAGGCTCGGGATCCACCTGTCAGGCATAGTGAGTTAACTAGGTTTGGGGACCCCAAAGATACTAGGGGGCACCCCCAAAACCCCGTTACATTTGCATTAGGAAGTCTGTGATTCGACAGACAGAAAGGTTGGCCTTGGTTAGAAGAAGGGGGCTTGAAAAGGCTGCAAACAAGAGATCTGCAGCTTTTGCAAGCTGTTTTAGATGATATCACAATAAAAAAGCATAATTAAACCCATACATGTTTTCATATTATATATAAAATATCTATTAAATAGTGATTAGATTTTTTTACATTTATTTTTATTTAGGCAGTAGAGTGTTCCTTTAACTTTAGATATCATAATGAGGAATATCCCCCCCAACACTCAACCTTGCCCCCCTAACACACAAACACCACATGCACAACCACACTCATGCCTACTCCACAGACAACCATATACACACAAGACAACACTTAGCTGTAGCCACACACAGAACAGAACCTAGGGCTTGGAGGAGGGGGGCAATTTGGCATCTTGCCAAGAGCCCTGGGCAATCTTGATTGCTCATAAGCGTTTGGTCCCCAGCTGAATTAATGCAGACTTCCTGTGTAATTTTAAGTATTTTGAACATTTTGTATGTAAGTTCTTCAAATACTTCAAAGTATTGCAGGCATTTTCTGTGGAGGATAATTATCAAAACTATAATAACCAGTACAGGATGAATTGTCCTTTATGCATGATCAAAGATGTTAAAGTATCATCAAGGTGATAGACGTTTTCTGGATTTAATGCACATCAGGTCTCCGGTTACCTGTGACACAGCCTGTGTTGCAGCGCTATAAATTTACTATAAGTTCTTTAACATCATTCTTTATACATCTATTAGTAAGCAGCACAACTGGGTATTAAATTCAATTATGGTTGTGTTTTCTGTATGCTTTCCTGACTCTATAAACATAACTAGCATCAGGGCAGGTTGGCTTCATGCACTTAGCTTCTTTTAAATTAAACACACATTTTAACAATTTAGATATTATTCCAGCAATGATAAGACTATTCCTACTGTGAAAACACACGTCCCTCACACCAACTCTGCACCTGTTATCTTCACATCTTGGAAGAGACTTTGCCTCTCTGATGTCCCCATAGCACATGGCGCACTTATCGAATGCTTATTTCAGACACCTTCATTAGACTCAAGCTGAAAATGTGTGGTCACCATAGATTTTGAGTTTGTTTTGTGTTACGTTTTATTTTCTATTTGTATTTGTTTTTCCAAGTCACAATTTTACATCAATATTACAAAAAATATATATTTGTTTTTGCATATTTTTTATTAGCCACAAAATAGAATTTAGGACATAGATGTAAACATGATTTATACTGGGACATATTCATGAATATAGTGTTGTGTTTATATTCTCTTACAATTTATAATTTTGATAATTGTATATTATAATGTAACTCTACCCAGAGAAGTATAAATAAATAAATGAAATAAACGGATATTTATGTTTTTAGCGTTGTCCTTATTTTACCAATATACATATACAGGAAATATCATTGTTATCGTTTGCATTAATATTATCATTTACACAGCTGTTGGTAATTTTTTACTATTGTGTAAACTATGCATAACACGCACATGGCTGATATTACTGCTAGCGTCGGTGGATTTTGTCCACAGAAAGGGATGGGTTGACGTTTCTGTGTTTGGTTAACAAATGCCTCAAATTAATCTCTCGTCTTTAGAAATGTGGGGTTCTGTTGTGAACAAACAGTTTATTACTGGATCACATTTAACAGTATATTTTATTACAAGATTAAAGCTATTAACCAACAAAGCCTCTTTAAGGTTCCTCCAGACATAGTAATGTTTGATAAACATGTTCTTAAGGCAGATAGCTCTGTTTGTGTGTTCTTCAAAGTTCCACTCCTTTGATCCTTTATCACATTTGTTTATTCTGAGGCTAAAAGCAACAATCTCTCCAAATTCATTTGGATGAGTAAGTTTGTATTCAGTTGTTACTATGAGATGTTTTTCTTTTTGCATGCAGATACGAGATTCCTGTTTTTTTTATTCATGAAACATCTCAGAACGGATATGTTTAAAAGAAACCAAAGCCAACATCTAAATTTATTTTTTTGTACAAAAGCACATTTTAAGAGTTATGCATACAAAAGTGAAACCGTCTGTACTTTAATGGAGTTTACTGCACTGGAAGTGAACAAGAGAGTAATTGTTCCGATGGTCTTGCCTATTTATCTAATTTGGATCAACAGCTTCATGGATACAGATCTGGAATGAGAATACATCAAGTCTTTAGTTTAAAATGTAAGTGGATCGTCTATGTACTCCTATGTTTTTGTATTACTTTGGTGACAGTTAATTTGTGTTGTACATAAGTCAATGTATATGGATCTGTTTTTTTAACCTATATACCAAATATTCTTTGTGTGCAAAACACTACAAGTCTTATTAGCTGTGTTGAAATAATAAAAAGGTGGAAAACACCCAGAATACGTGTAGGTATATATTACTTATTAGCTGTGTTCCCTGGAATGAATATTGGCAGGCTGCCTTGACTGTTTATAAGCAGACATTATGCTCTGCCAAAGACCTATGTCTGTCCTCTGTTTGTACTCCCACCTCTGATGCCCGCCTTCAAGACTTCTATAGGGCAGCACTATTCACCCAGTCTACATTCCTTTGAAAAATCATTGAAAACTCACTTCTTCAGGAAAGTGTATCAATTAAACTGTTAAGAGCCCTGTTCCTGTGTGTCCAACTTGTCTGGTTACAATTATGTGTCTGTTAGTCCACACATTGTATGCCGCTGTCAAACTTGTTGGCCCTATATAAATAATAATTATAACTAGAAAGCTACAATTTCTGGGGAAATTGTGTGAAGTGTTCTTGCCTCCACCAGTAGTCTACAACTGGAGTGGGCGGAGTAACTGTTATTATTTATTTATATAGTACATTTAAATGCAACGTTGTAGCCCAAAGTGCTTCACAGTTACATTAAAACATACATTTATAAAAACATTAGCAGGTGTTCAAAAGGCCCTGTCTATGACATCACTTGCTGCTGCAGCCTGACAGGTCAGAGTATTTTGGCGGTTGCCATCTTCAAACGGTTGTATTTTAAAAACTATAAATCCTACAGCGAAGAGCTTTATATTGTGAGAATCACAAGACCCAGACCTACATTTTGATGCATAGTATGTCTCTGAAATATTATAAATGAAGGCACAGTCGCAGTTTAGAAATTGCCCTTCAAATTTGAGCTGGCTAGAGTGGAGTTTCAATGAATGTCAATGGACGGTGTGAGTTGCAAACAAATGGTCATATTGTGAAAACTATCAGGACTATGGCTTAGCCATGGACATGTTTAGTGGCAGCAGGGATAGCTGAACGTTTTGATATAAGATTTGTGTAGGTGGGCTTGAAAATGAGGGAGTGGTGGCAGTTTAGAAATCATGTCCTGATTTTTCAGCTTTTGTCAGCTCCCACTCTAGTTTTGAACCATTCATTTCTAAGGGACCAATTTCGCCACAAGAACGACGATATTCCCTGAACCATTTGGTGAAACGTTCCACAAAGTAATAGCACACCAATCGGGAACAATCCGCACGTTTGGGTATATTACTGTCTATGTAGTCTAAAAACCGTGGGAGGAGTTAGGGTGGTAAATTTGGCTATAATAACAAGAATAATAATATATATGTGAGATAACATTAAGTGGTCTTGCTATGCAAGAACACTTAATTATTATATTTCTATAAATTACTACGACACCTTATGTCTTTGCTCCACGCAGTGAGAATCTGAGTATGTATAAAACGAGTTTAGTAAATAAACTTCAAATTGTAGTGAATTGAAAACCAAATGGCATAATTTAAGTTCAGTTTTTAGTTCAAGTAGACATGAAGTGGGTGAATTCGATGTGGTTCCAGTTCTGAAAAAGTCAACTGAGAATCTATTAAGACAGGGTGGCTTTAAGGAACACCCCAATCATCATAACCACAGCAGTGAACTGTAGTGGTCCTGGTGTCACCTCCCCTCCCAATATAAAAATCCGACCATTTGCTAGTTGCCTGGGGTCCTTCAGAGCTTCCATTAAATATCCTATGCTGAGCCTCCAGAGCTGGACAAACTCCTTGGCACAGAGCATCAGCTGTTCGCTGTCTGTGAATAAGCAAAGCCCTGTGTGTCCTGACTTAGCTTATTTGTAAACTTCTAAATGTGTGTATACCCAGGCCAGATTTTATCCCTTGGACTAATAATGTTAGATGCCCTATTTTCTGGAAAATCCTCTTTGGTTTGGATCTCTGAACCAGATGGGAAGGTGGGAGATGGGACTGTGACAATGTATTTGCAATTCTATAATGTCTTATGGCAGACTCTTCTCTGCTTTATGCTCAATTTTCCTCACTGATGTGAATGTGCACACTGAACAAATGTCTTGTACAGTTATGCTAACTGGCCACCTTCTGAGACATACTTTGCAGCAGAGAATGGTTTTGATCCCTTGACCAAGAAATACAAGAGAAAGTCTTATCAGGTTGATTATATCACACTTCAAACCCTGTGTTCTATTAGTGATTGCAAGAAGGTAGCTCCCTTTTATATCTCATTCATTAACAATTTTCAAGTGATCTGTTTATACACCCACAGTTGCCACCATAGTTTATGTTATAAAGATCTTGCCCCATGCCTTGTCTTCATAAACCATTGCATCTGATATCATTCTCCCTAAGACAGGTGTTCACTTTCACTGGTGGGTTGATTTAAGGGACTCTATGGAAGTATAATCACTACTGTCTACAAGGCAATGTTTGAGGTAGAGTGGCCTACACCAGTTACCAACAACAGCCCAAACTCTGCTTCCAGCTGATCCTTAGTATTAGCTGTGTTATTAGCAAGAAGCTGGCTGGTAGTACAATTACCAACAGGGACATAGGGGCACAAGGTTCAACATAGCACAATATACCATAGATCAATTTGAGTGCTCTTGTCTCCGATATTTTGAGTGGTTCTTTGGGGTTCAAGTTCACTATAATTAGGTCCCCCCCTAACCACACACAATTAGAGTATAAAATGTACTGATATATAACATCAAAAACCTTGAGCTTGTGATTTAAATGTAGTTTTACACATTAAAACAACAGGTTGTATCCGTCATATCAAATACACTTTTATTTATATTGATAAAAGTTAGACACTAGACTTTTAGTTTTATCTGAGGATTACAGAGTTTGTCACGTTAACACCACTTTTTTTCTTTAATTCTTTATTTTTGTAGTGCACGTGATAATAGACAAGCTTGCGATGTCACGACAGTAATTGCAAGCAATTCAAAAACAGATATAATAAAACATTGGCATGGTATCAAAAACATTGGCACATTTTTTTTAAAGGAAAAGATAACATAAGATAACATCATGAAGGGCTGACATGACCAGGGGATAGACTGCTAGGTCTCAAAGAAAGCTAAGAGTAATATCTAGACTTTAGAGGTAAAAGAGTGAAGCCTAGTATACCATACGAGGTGTACTTCCTTGATCATAAACAATGAAAGCCCTCCAGACATGAGAAAGACAAGGTAGGTACGTATGAAATTAAACATGCTGAACTTGCTTGTAGAATAACAGGCTACATCACAATTGCTAGTAACGATGAGTGAGTAGGGCCATGTTGGCAAACACAAGGATGGTTAGATAAACCCGGAGAGAAGCATTTAAGGCTGGCCGGAGCAGCAATGCATGTTTCCCTCACCAACACATTAAGCCTTCACCCAATACCTATAGTGGCTATTAGAGTCTCGTAATGAGGCAGAGACCCATCACTCCAAAGCTGGCCCCTCCACTGGCCTCAGGCCTCAACAAGAGCCATGTACAGTTCTCACTGCTCTGTTCATTCTCTGCACCATGAGCGAGGTCTTGAGATCGATGTTGCTCCCTCTGACGGTGGGCTGGGCCCACAGCTTAGAAGGGCAGTTAGCGGGGTGTTGGACGGCTTAGAATGTAAGTGAACAAACTTGGGCTTTCTTTCCCTTTGGCTTCTTACCATCACAAGCTTTTAGTGGCTTCTGATTAGTGCCAGCCATTGGGTGTTCAATGTTGGGAGGCGAGCTCAACCGCATGCCATCACTCCCTGGGGTCTGCACCGTTTGGCGGGCTAGTCGTGCCCTCAGACCCTTGCCGAGCTGGTGGTCTTCGAGGCTTAGAGGGGATTCCCCTTTTCCATAGGTGTGCTGCCTTGCTGTCATATTCTCTGTTTTCCTATCAGCGCTGAACCTCCTTCCTGATCTCGGTCTTCCTCAGAAGCCCAGTCCTCTGGCAGAGCAGGTGCTGCAGGGATACAGGTTCAGCTCTGAATCTGAGCCCAAAACTCCTGGCATATCTTATTAAAACGAGCATTGAAGAGTGCCTGCCAGCTCTGGCTCTCCGAGCCTTTATGAGACAGTGTAGTCTGCGGCAGCCATCTTAGGTTTCCACGTGGTGCCTGTGTGTTCAGGTCGATGAGAGACTCCGCTGGTACAGGGAGGTTAGTTCCCTCCGCAGGGACCAAGATACCCCCTGCCAGTCCAGAGTGGGGGGTGCAGGGCTTCATATTTGATGCGGGTCCAGTGGTGGAAGACCGGCCACATCCCCCACTCACCGGGCCATCAGTCTTGGTAGGTCTCGTGGTCGGACATAGTATATACTCAGCTGAGCCTTTATAATCAGGTGTGCTTGAGGTGCCTCTTCTTATATCGTCCATTTGCTGCTCACTTAAGGCGGCACTCTGTGTGATATTGGGCATTAATAGCCTATATTTAGCTTGGTTGGGCAGGAGCTAAGATAAAACACATCTGGCCATCTTGGCTGTCAGGCCCCGCTCCCAACAGCACTTTTTTCCATTCACTAAAACACCCTCTTCTGTTTTTAAAATAAAATAAAAACTTGAGTTGTCTGATTCATTTCCCCATAAATTGGAAAGTTTACTTTGGTAAACTTTCTAGCTGCTAGAGTGAAAATTGAAGCTGGCTGAGAGAAGATAAATGAAAAAAAAAAGCCTTGATGATGTGAGTTGGCATATACCGATTGTGAGATTTAATAAGCGTTGCCACTTTGGGATATTAATGAATACTTATGTCCCCTGGGCATGCTTGAATTGCACAGTGCTCTTAAACTGTAAAAACAAACACAGTGGAATTGCTGTGTAATTCAGAACATGCTGTGTAACAATGTCATAGACAAGCTCATACCTTTTGTAAAATGTATCAGAGAATACAACACTAGAGATTTAGCTGTCCCATACAGTTTAACACATAACCACAGAGATGACAGGGACCATATTTCTTTATAAGGTCCAAGACCAGTGGTCCAATGATATGTGGAAGCTGGCATGATACCCTGGGAGAAGTTGGAAGGATCTAATTTTAGACTTTGTGCCTCCAACTCTGAGTCCTTGAAGAAACAAATTATAATCCCAAGGATAGGCATTTTTTCAATGTATAGTGGTACATATGTAACATAGTGAGTATTTCACAAAAGAAAGTTACAGTGTTCATCGAGAACTTAAGTGCATCAAATAACTTGGTATACACTGATCAGCTACAACATTAAAACCACTGACAGATGATTTAATCGTTACAATGGCACTTGTCAAGGGGTCGGATTTGTTGGGTAGCAAGTGAACAGTCCATTCTTGAATTTCATGTTTTGGAAGCAAGAAAACTGGTCAAGGGAAAAGATCTGGGTGACTTTGACATGTGCCAAATAGTGATGGCTAGACAACTGGGTCAGAGTATCTCCAAAATGGTAAATTTTGTGAGCTGTTCCTGGTATGCAGTGGTTATTACCTACCAAAAGTGGTGCAAGAAAAGACAATTGGTGAACCTGGTCCCCAAGGTTTTTTGATACACGTGGGGAGTAATGGCTAGCCCATCTGATACGATCACACAAACGAGCTACTGTACTTCAAATTGTTGAAAAATGTAAAGTTGACCAAAAGGTGTCAGAACACACAGTGCATTGCAGATTGCTGCACATGGGGCTGGGTAGCCAAAGATTAATCAGAGTGCCCGTGATGATCCCTGTCCACTGTTGAAAGAGCCTTTAATGGGCAACTGGACCATGGAGCAATGGAAGAAGGTTGTCTGGTTTAATGAATCACCTTTTCTTTTAGATTTGGTGGATGGTCTGGTGCCTGTGCGTTGTTTACCTTGGGAAGAGTTGGCAGCTTGATGCACTATGGGAAGAAAGCATGTAGGCGGAGGCAGCGTTATGCTCTCGGCAATGTTCTGCTTGGAAATCTTGGGTCCTGGCATTCATGTGGATGTTACTCTGACATGTACCACTGTTGCAGTGTAAGCATGCAGAAGCCAAACACAGAAATATTGGACACAGGTCTTCAGGAAGTAACAGGCCTTTATTCACATTACCGATCGGGTCTCAGATGAACTCCTGTTCCAAAGGATCTGAGAGACATATACTTGTGGCTTGGGACTTTTGTTAACTGCATATCTCCTCCCATACAGTATAACCCCTCCTATATTCCTCAGACCAATCAATGAGCAGAATATAGACTTGTACATCTAGTCAAACCACATGGCTCATCCAAGACAAAGGAAATAAGTGCAATTTCAGTTCCTGCATTCCTGCACATGCTCAGTACACTGATGACAGTATCCTAGCTACATGTAGCTAACCAACTGACACAACATACACATATGCCACATGGAGATTTTGGCCTACTAAATTTTAACCATGCTGGAATCCCATCACACCACCTACCTAGAGATTGTTGCAGACCATGTACACATGACAAAGGTGTTACCTGTTGGCAGTGGCCTCTTTCAGCAGGATAATGCACCCTGCCACACTGCTAAAAATGTTCAGGAATGGTTCAAGGAACATGACAAAGAGTTAAAGGTGTTGCCTTTGCCTCCAAATTCCCCAGATCTTAATATGACTGAGCATCTGTGGGATGTGCTTAAACAACAAAACTGATCCATGGATTCCCCACCTTGCAACTTGCAGGACTTAAAGATTTGCTTCAAATGTCTTGGTGTCAGGTAAATCAAAGATGTTTTGGCAGCACGAGGGAAATCTACACGATATTAGGTGGTTTTAATGTTGTGGATGATCAGTGTAAGACAAATAGTAAACATGTTTATTTGAAGTAAAATATACCACATAAAAGTAGAAGTCAAAAAGTACTATTTAAATAGGAAGTGTAATTTCCAATGATTCTTAATATTATTTTCTATTATCACTATTTTTAACAAATATGTGTATTTCTGAAGTGTGAAAGATTTGATTCAATGTAGAAATTCACACGTCTTTATCCTGCAGCTGGTCATCTCCATCTTGGCTCAATTAGATCTCCTGTCTGCTGCCTTTGCAAGGCCTCACCTTCTTCCACAGCCCAGAATTTCTTCAGCTCAATGAGAAGTCATTGCAAGGCAGGTGCTCTAAGCAATTGCTGCCTCTTGAGTTTAGCTCCAATGAGCTTAACAAACCAGGAAGTAACAGGACTAGTTGACTGACTGACAGCCAGGGAGTATGAGATTAATTCATAAATGTGCCAATTTCTATTGAAATCAGTTCTTTTATAAAATAAAAAAAGAGAACACACTCTTCAAACATAAACAATTTCAGCAAGCTAAAGTGTTTTAGGGTTCAGGAGTGCTCCTTTAAGCTGATGTACCTGTAAACAGTAACTACCACGTGCTCAGTACTTCATTGCATTGCTGTTTGCTGAAGTGTTGATTTTTCTTTGATTGAAATGGGATTGTACGTGAAGTGAATCTCATGAGTTAAAAGGGAATAAATCTTTTTCCAAGCGAATCATGACAAGGCTACATTTCCAAAGGGATCCCACCAAGTTAAACATGGGAGTCAGGCCAAGTTAATGGGCGTCAGAAGTTCAAATTCTCAATTTGTTACATGAGAGTTATCACCTCGGGTGTGTACTTAGGTCAACTCATCATTTAATGGATAAACCACTAAAGGGCGGTAAACGAAATTAGGTAACACGTCTTGACATGACATAGGAAATCATTTATTGTTTTAATAGAGAGGGCTGTTCATTGTGTTATTGTATGTCTGCCAGCTGTCTTGAAGACACATTTCAAAGTTCCACAGATATATAGCAATATTGTAGATATTGTCTAGATGAACCTGTGTTAACCTGTATGCAATAGTCATTATACCATTTCTCCTGGGACGTGTCATTGAGTTATTGGTGGCAACGGAAGTTCTTAAATAACAGCCAGTTACATAACAAGGAAATATCTATTGCCTTACAGCTAATTCCTATGAGGAATTATATCAGCTGAGGAATACAATTGTCCAAAAGATCAACAAACATAGTCCCTTGCTGACTGTTACGAAAACCCGACCAGCTGTGAAAAGCGCCACTATTCAATTGGTCTAGGTGAATATTAGCAAATATAATAGAAACAAGGTAGCTTCACATTTTAAGAGTCATTGTTACTTATCTTATGTATATAAAAAGTGTCTGGAATGGCCATATGTGTAAGGTACCTTTTTAAAAATTATTTTGTCGCCATAAAGAAGCACAGGGAATTGCATAATTTTAAGATATTTGTGAGTTCTTGCCATGACAAAATGGACTGGGAATAGGTTGGGGTAAAGACTGATGACGCTTTCTGCTTATGATAACCATGTCAGTTTTACTATGTCCAGCTGCACTAGTGAGATATTTATTGGAGAGTGCAAAGTAAACAAAATAACTTTAAGAATTAAATACCATGGAGTTGATCTGATAAGAGTAAGAAAAAACATAGCAAAGCATATAAAATAAGTTATGGTCAGAAATTGTTTTTTTTTGGTCAGAATTTTTTTTTATTTATCCACAACACAGCTCTGAGCATTACATCTGAGTGTAACTTACCAGTTGCAGATTTTTTTCATCCAACGCAAGTGTTAGGTTTGCTCAGCGTTGGAAGATTATGTAGCTGAAGTGATGAATCGCAGCCGTCATTGACCAGATTTCCTCTGTTTAAATAAAGCGAATAAAGATTATTAGCTTGTGGAGTCCATAGGGTTTTTTACTTATATCCCCAATGAAAAATGCATTTAAAGTATACATGCTTTTATTGGGAGTACAGTAATAATCAGGAGAAAACGCACCCTCGGATTAAACAAACAATTGGAAACCACAATGGGGGCACATGTAAAAATCAACTAAGTTTAAATATCCCTAGGAGGGCCAAAACATGCATGCATGTCGATGACGCAAAGACGCATGCACATTCGCATCACTAGCATCATTTTTGGGCCAGATCTATTTAAATTAGCTCTTTTGTAGCGGTTGGTGGCAGCCGTGTGGTAAGTACAACAGGGGTGCTTCTACTAGCATGACCGTACCCAATCATGATTGTACCTTACCGGGCCTGTGACAGAAATAATTTAAATACTTAACTGTTGAAGTTTTGATTAAAGATTTTCTTTTTTTTGGTCCCAAATTTTCGGCCATAAAAATTATTATTATACATAACTGTTACAAAAGTCTTTTATTTATTTATTTTCTGGAATTTTTCCTTGGGTCAAGAGGGTTATTTGAACATATTTTTTTTTTTGAAGAGAAAAAATATGAGTCAGCTGTCAATTCAAAATGTTATTTTTAAACTAAATTCTTTATTTTTAGAAAATGATTCACCAGCAAATGACATATATGGATTTGTCTTAATTTCCCATAATAGCCATATTGCATTGTATTGAAGAAAACAGGAAATGGGCAAGCGCTAGATAACTGAACAAAAGAGCAACTGGTGGCAGCAAACCTAAAATAAGGGGACCACCTCAAAGACCCCTAAAGAGAGTGTACAACAAGTAAAAACGGAAGATATTTAACTTTTAGGCACAACCTGTCCTCAGTTTTTATATTGCATTGTATTACATTATATAAATAATTTTATTATTAAAAGTAAATTTGACCACTTTACGCAGTCATTTCTTTTTTTTGTAAATCTGTTTTTATTGAGAAGTTGATCAAACAGTCAATACATACGTTGAGAAGATTTGCATTTTGGGACACGCAGGTCTCCAACATACCATCAGTTTGAGGATACTAATCACATTGTGTTAAGGTTCATGATAAGGTCGAGGATCAAAGCTGTAATTTGATCCCCTCGTTCTTTTGGCTTGTTAGCCGAACCTTTTCCATGTTCCTCATTCTGTACCTCTCCGAGGGGCACCGAGCATCTATCTCCGAAACTAGTGTTTGTTCTTAATTTGCGATCCTGCCTTATCCGTTAGTTATGCTTTGAGTTCGGAGCCTGTGCTGGCGATGTTTGGCGTTTTGTCATCCCTGTTAATTTATTATGTGCCAATTTGATATGTGTTCCCTTTTATTCGGTCTAATGGGGAAGCGGTTGTTGCTTTTATTTGGGGAGTTATGTGACTGATATCTAGAATGGTCAAAGGTGGTGTTCCAAGGCTGTTAGGCATCTTCCCTGCTGTGTTTTGCGATCTGTGTGTTATGTGTGAGTATGATATGTGCCCATTGGTGGTGGGAGGGTTCTGCTGGGTGAATTGTATACGTGTTGCGTCAACTATATGATGTGGCGCGTTTTCGCTGGGAGGTAGTTCTCCCTTCTGTATGTCAGGCTTTCCTCAGTCTTTCCTAGTCAAAGTATGAGTATGGAGGGAGATAGGGGAGAGGAAGAGGAGATAGAGCTATGGGGAGCAGTGTATGGTCCATGTTAAGGGGGAGTCGGAGCCCGTGCGCCGCCCCCGCCCCCGGGGTCCCCCCCAGTCCGCGGGTATCGAGACGCAGTCATTTCTTATCACTCTTTGCATTTAAAGGAATTGTTTCTTCTGTCCTTATGGAACTTGGAGGTAATATTTTAGAATGGGATATCTTTCCAGCGATGGACACATCTGTATAGTGTACAACAAAACAACCCTCCATAGACTGAGCACTGGGATTCATTTGCATGGCCAACCTCAAGTTAGGGAATCTCCAGTGTCTCAAGAGTGTTTCTGGTTTGAATAAAAAGTTGGATGGATTATTAAAGGCACCACCCACAATATGTTGTCAAAGGAACTTTGTAACATTCGAGGAAATAGTTTGGTCTTGAAAGTAGTATTTGGGATATTGCGTATTAACAATTAATGTACCATAGCAAGCACATTGTATCAAAATAGGCGAGTCCACTACCACCTATTTAAGGTTTACTGTATTATAGAATTGCTACAGCCCCAGACTTTTGAACTGTGCATCTATATAGTACAAAAGAACAACACTTTTTGCCCTTAAAACAAAAAAGTGGATATGTAGCACTTATCTCAATAGACAGTGGTAACAGCTTCCTCCATGGACATCCCAGCAATAATCTCTCCAATACAGAATAGATATATACAAAAATGAGGATGCAGCTGTAGATCTACAAAAAAACAAAATGAAACAATAGTGCAACACTGTATAATAAAGTATAAGTGTGCTGTGTAGAATATAACTCACAAGATTGATGAATGGTTAGTGCCCAAGGGTGCCTCCTCTGATGTAGATGGGGGGCATTAACACTGCTCCTAAGAAGGCGAAATACGACTCAGGATGTGGAGTAAAAAAGGTTTCTTCTTTATTTAAAAGAATTAAAAGTATAAAGGTACAAATAAGCTGTTTTAGTACCAGGTCCTACACGTTTAGTCTGATGGACTTCCTCAGGAACCTCCTGGTATGCAGATACGTAACAGCAATAAAACAAATACAAATGAACAATAAAATCCCTCCCCCCGAGCCCTTTCTTTTATACTGAAGGTTGTTACTCCTCATTGGTGCTTCACTGGGCGTCTGTTCTTTGATGCAGCTGTCTGTTATTGAATTTCCTGGGTTTTGCCGATTTTGCGATGTCACTTCCGGTTTTTCGGCAATTGCGCAACATCACTTCCGGTTCGGCGATTCGTTCCTATGATCAAAGTGGGCACATGCGTTTCACCACAGGGAAGCATGCGTTCCACCTGTAGCTTCCTGTGATGGATAGATGAATGATGGGAGCCTTTGGGGCTCAAAAAGTAAACAAAATCAAAGTTGTAGGCAAATGAAAAACAGAACATTTATTTTCAAAGTATAAGATTTTTTTGCAAACCAAAAAAACATACAGAGATCTTACTCATTAGGGTCTAAATGAATAAATGGAAGGTTGAGTGTTTTGCCCATGTGGCTAATTAATCAATGCTTATGATTACTAGTTATCTAAATAATTAATGGCAATATTGCTATATGTTGAGTGCCAGTCACTTCCATGTGAACAGATTATGAGACCTCTAGATTTTTATACCTGCTTTTAGTACATACATCTTTAGTTTGAAATATGGGAATGCCAATTCCCCACATCCGAATCAATGGAGAAAGAAAGAAATAAAAATATAATAAAATGAAAATGAAAAGAAAAATAAATGAAAATAAGAGTAAAAATAAATAAAAAGATAAAAATAAATGTAGGGGGCGGGGCCGGGCCGCCGAGCTGAAAGGCAGCAGAACACCATAGCTCCTGGCCTGAGCCTGGAAAACTGCAATAAATCCACGCTCAGACCACCCCCAAACCAGATATAAACGACATATACTTAACGAGAAACACCCAAGCTTCAGGAGGATGCCACACCGAGGCCGGATTTGGGCCGGGAACACCGAAAACAACGAAGCGGCCTACTCGCCATCATAAGCCTGGACGATGGCAACCCCTGAAGACGCACAGATCACTGACCAGCAGCCCAGAGATAAAGGTATACCAGCTATAAGGCCTACATGGAGGCCACACAGTTGCGGATGACGGCCCGGCTCCGCTCCCCCCCCCGCCCCCGGCCGCATGGAAGCAGCACCCTACGGGGCGGAGGAAACCGCGCGGGGCCCGAGCCGACCACCTGAACGGGTAAAGGCTACAAGAAACGAGCCCGCCCGAAGACTCACTCCAGGCACCAAAAGGGGTCTAGCATGGGCGGCCCACACGGGCCTTGGTAAGGCCGAACACTGGACGGATCTTCCATGCTGTGCCACTGACCGCTGGGGAGTGGGCGCCCAAGCCTCTGGGTTTGTGGGGTCCCCGGAGAGACCTGTCCCCGAAGCCGTGAGCCCTGTGGGATGGAACCGCGCTACCCTCCCGACGGACCGGTGGTCGTGGGGGATGGGCATCGACTCCAAATGTGTGGCCGGCACCGGGTGAGACATTGGAACGCACACTTCAAGGGACTCAAGTGGAGCTGGGGAGGTGCAGGGAGTGGACAACCAGTGGACTTTGTGGTGGGGTCCGGTGGACAGTTTACGCTCCTGAGTGCCCACGGTGCCACGGGAGACCTGACCGGTGAGCAGAGATCGGCATAGGGAGGACGGAAGGAGGCCTGGCTGCCCGGGGTCAGTGTGGTAGCAGTGCCATGAGAGACTCCCCTCAGACATCCATGTAGCCTAACATGGCCACCCTGCAGTTTACAGTTCACATTTTTCATTTTTTTGTTTGCATCTACTCTATTGTTAGTTAGCATATATATCCATGTACTTAAAGAATTTAGGGAACGCTCTGTCACTCAGTTCAGCTTATGCACTAATGCTAGTTGCCCTCAAATCATAAGCATTCTCTAACTCCACAAGTCAGAATTATAATAGGTTAGGCGGTTATAATGTACATAATGTAATGTGTTTGTTTATATGCTCTTTTCAGCCATAAATATGCAAGGTAATATAGATTGTGGAGCATCTGACTAGGCAGCAAGGACTTAACACTATATGTTTTTAATTCACTACCATAAGCTTTTCTTATTAGCATATTACTACATTAACGGGTCGCATAGTTAAGGGTTAAACAGCCCACAGACTCAGATGAATGCTAACAGTAAACGACGAGTACAGTTCCTAATGCAGTTCCAAACACTAGCGCACACACTAATTCCACACACTGGCGCACACACGCAAAGCTAAACATTTAGATGGTGGCCGTACGCCGA